CCCCCCCCAGTGCGAGACTCACGCAGGTCGTGGTCACGGCCGCGGAGCACCCAGTTGTCGGAGCACTGCAGGACCCCGTGCGTGATCAGGACGGGTCCCTTGGGCTGAACCTTGTCCCCCGCCGGCTTTGGGGCGCGCCTCCCCTTGTCGTCCTCGTCCAGGTCGCCGTCGTCGTCCGCGGCCCGCGGCCGGGCCCCGCCGCCGCGGCCCCGCGGGATGCGGATCAGCATGGGCATGTAGCCGTCCTGAGTGCGCACGCGGTAGGTCTCGACCGGGTAGCCCTCGCGCCTGATGAGCTCCTCCTGCGAACAGACAAGGCGCGTCAGTGCTGCTCGCGGCGCGGCACGGGGCCGGGCGGCACGGGGCCTTCGGGTTCGGGGACGAGACACGCACCGTGGTCATGATGGTCTGGGGGTCGTGCAGGGTGCCGCCGCCGATCCACAGCCTGTTCAGGTAGCGCGTCAGCACGGCAGACGGCAGCAGGCCGAGGATGGTGCTCTCGAGGAAGCCGACCTGGGAGGGCCGGGTCGACGACGACGATGACGGCCCGAGCGCGAGACCTACGGGTCCCAGCGGCAGGTCGGCGTGGTTGGCCTGGTCGGCGGCGTGCAGCGAGCTCGACCCGGAGGGCGCCCTGGAGGACCGCGCCGTGGACGCCGGCCTCCTACCGGCCGCGGAGCAGAGCGCGAGCTGGGCCAGCAAGGGCAGCCACCACCACGTCGGCATCCTGGGGACACGAGCGGAGGGTGGTGTGAGGCTGCCTAACCCGCGGCGCGCACGCGAGCACGCCGTTGTGATGCAGCGGCCAGAGCCGGACTTCCCTCCCCCCCCCAAGCGACCCTGACTCAGTTTTCCGTTGGTCATCTCTCCGTCGCACTGCCGCAAACTGTGGCTGCTCACGCCGTCGGCCCCTCTCTGTCTCTCTACTCCGTCAAAATGGTTAATTATTTCACTCGAAGTTGACGATGATGGTCATGTGCCGCTCCCATTACCGCTCTGCCGGCCCCGACTTACCCTTAACCTAGTGGTGTTTTGCGTGCCGGGCGCCATTTGTGCCGAGGCATTGTCTGTCCTCGCTCTTGAGACACCTCGCCGGCGCGCCCCAAGCGGCTGTCCACCTCTGGGGTCGTCCAGAGAGTACTTCCGTCATTCGCCGTTACGAACGTTTCAAGTTCAGCCTCGAGAAGCTCTCATATCATCCGACAGGTAGGCAATATCTTGTCTGCAGTGCATGCGTGTACTGCGGGGTGGCCTATCCCTAGTCTTGCAGGCGCGTAGCTCCTGTCGAGCTGGTCGAGCTCCGATCGAGTCTGAGAAAAGTGGACGTAAAAAAAACATCTGGATCTGCGATGAGCGGCTGCCCACGATGGAAGTGGTAGTTTGCCCCCCTCCCTCGTCTCTCTCCGAGGCACCCGGTTGCTCGCCCGTTCGGTACCGACCGGCGGACACCCGTCGTCGGCAAGTTTTCTCCGCAGCGATAAGTTAATCCCTCGCTTATTTTGATCGGACGCCGGGGGCGCCATTTCCTTTCCCCCCTCATAGTGAAATTACTATCACGTACTACTCCCTGCCCGCGCCGCCCCGCCCCGCTCACCCCGCCGCCCTGTCGAACGTGCCATGGGTAGTGTACCCGC